TACCACTGCAGTTCAGACCTATTATTATGTTTACTGCACTACCTGTTCTTTGGCCTGTCAATTCATTTGGCCTATTAAATGGACTAAGAGGGTGCAAAAAGAGACTAGAAGGAATTATTTCAAAGTAATATGGTAGGGGGGACGGTTGTAAGCGTGTGATTATGGGGTGATTTATCTTTTGTCACTTCTCCAAATTTCCAAATGTAATTGTCATTTTTACAGCGAAAAAACAAAAGCGGCCCTGGATTAGTGATTCTTGTTGAAAGACAAAAACAAAACAAAGACCCTTTGGATGCATATCAACATACAAATGTCCTTGTAAAATGGAATATGGAAATACACTCTTTCTGTGTGGTCTTAACCCAATTTACCCTTCTCCGTGCTTCTATCCTCACCTTCAGAAATAGAGTATTTATCTTATCAGGTAGTTCTGAGTAGTAAAGAGATAACAGATATACAAATGTTTGACACATATTTATTGTTCAATAAATAATGTCCTGTCTTCTTGTGTCTTGAGATTTTTATTGTATAAACAAAATTGACCCAAACACTAACTGTAGTGGTTCTTTAACTTCTGAACTTCTGATCCCGAATGCATTGACAGGGAGGTGTTGAACACTTTTCTGTATGCCTGGGTGTTGTGACTCACTTTTAAGAGATGGAAGCTAATGTGCTTGCAAACAATGTAACATTTTTTTTTTTCTTAGCGATAGGCAGAAATATTATATTTCAGAAAACTTTCGTGGACAGACTCAAATTTTCCTGCCTGGAGTTGATATTTTCTGCTTCTAGGTTGAGTTCACCTCTTTCGGCTTAGTATGAAACATTAGGTGAAAACTGGAAATATAATGGACACATTGAGCATCCAGCTTTTCAGGAAACCAAGGCAGACAGCTAATTCTTTTACAAGAATGTAGCTAGTCAAATAGTTATCTTAGATAAGTATAGTTGATAGATGGCTTGTTATTAGAGATAAATGTTATGAAATAAAACAGTTAAATAATCTAGAAAAAATGTCAGCCTTGAAAATATTAACCTCAAAAAAACATAAAGGCAGCCAGGCCCGGTGTCTCACGCCTGTAATCCCAGCACTTTGGGAGACTGAGGCAGGTGGATCACGACGTCAGGAGTTCAAGACCAGCCTGGCCAACATGGTGAAACCCCATCTCTACTAAATATATAAAAATTAGCCAGGCGTGGTGGCACGTGTCTGTAATCTCAGCTACTCCAGAGGCTGAGGCAGGAAAATTGCTTGAACCTGGGAGGCAGAGGTTGTGATGAGCTGAGATTGTGCCATTGCACTCTAGCCTGGGCAACAGGGTAACACCCTGCACTTAAAACGAAACAAAAAGCATAAAGGCTGGGCATAGTGGTTCACACTGTAATCCCACCACTTTGGGAGGCTAAGGCAGGAGGATCCCTGGAGGCCAGAGGTTGGAGACCCCATCTCTTAAAAAATAAATACATACAAATATTTCATATGGTTGAATCTGCTGTTTTGGTGCTTTGTCAACTGAAACTCCTCTCAAGAGTACATTCAGAGGCCCAGATACAATTATTCTGCTTGATTTAAGAAGTTAGTTTGACTCTTTTCATTGTATTATGACAATAACAAACTTTAAAAATGCTACGTGATTTCCTTAAAGCCACTTAAGGTAACTATAACAGAAGATAATTTTAGGTACCTTCTCACCAGTTTTAATTTCATACTGACTTAGAACTGTAGTAAGAAAATTATAAAAAATAAAAGAGTCAGATACAATGAATACAGCACTGTTCTGATTAATTGATTAATTCAGGATACTTTTAGCGTTATTTTCTCACCAGCAACTTTTAAAAGAATATAGATAATCCCTGATTTATAACTTACTGCAAGTTTTTGGCGTAAACTTTGGTTTAAAGCTGTGTTTCAACAGTTGATATTATGTATACCCTTTTTTCATCTGCAATTTTTGTGCAGTACTGCCTCTGCAATGAACACTTTAATTTACTTGAATCTCACAAAATATTTTCCAATATAAAATTGCTACAAAAACATTTACTAGTTTTTTTATAGTGATTTCTGTGAATTTATGTTTAAACCTAAAGACATTATTTCAAAAATTTACAACTATGATTTTGCATCCAGAATTACTACATTATCTAAAGAGCATCTAGATTAGACCAAAAAATAAATGCATTAAATCTGCATACATACAACAATACAAAAAAGTCACAAATTCAACCACCAAAACTGTAACTTTTATTTGCCAATAGATATTTTAATAAACAGGCTTACTCCATCTGTAAGACCCTGATAATGCCTCTTAGGAAATCATAGAAAAATAAAATACAATAATTAGTAGTTTGTACCTTGTACAAAAATCTTATTATGTTGCTCAGCAGGTAGTTTGCTAAACACCATATTCTTTCAGCAAACAGATGACATATGTTATGCAATTCACCACAAACAACCCCTCATATTGAGAGCTGAGCATTCTATAACACTATTGTAAGCATGCCAGCACATGAAAATTTACATGGAAAGTTATAATATTATAGTAGATTTTTTAAAGATAAAAATAGTACCACCTTCAAAGAAGTCTGCACTACTTCACTGCTATAGTAAAGTAGATAATAGGTAGGATTGCAGTTCAATTGTTAACACCTTTTGACGTTGTTTATCGCTCTACCATATTGTGATTACAAGCAGAAAAGAGAACGTAGGCTGTGTCAGGAACCTGAGTGGAAGGCATATATTGAAGTTTTAAATGGTGATAGAATACTAAAGAGAAAAAACATAAAACAGTGCTATACTTCCTTATTCTCATAGATAAATCTTTTTCTCCTTTTGTAAGAGCAGATGGGTACAGAGTTAAATCCTTAATTAATAATAAATAGCTTCTTGACAAGTTACAAAGATGCTTTAAAAATCATATTCGTACTTATAGGGAGGGAAACAATTTTTAGCTGTCATATTTTAGTCAAATATAGCTCTATCAGGGATTAAATATCTCAACCTAGACATGTTATGTAGGTATTTTATATAAATATGCTCTTCAGTTTTCATATACTTTAGGATTTGTGCTACAAAGATTTTATAACATTTTGAGTGCACTGCAATTGTTGATATTGTCTACCATTTAAAATTTGATGTGGCCATTTAAATATTTAAAATGTTTAATCGAATACATATTTATATGTACATCTATATCTTTATATTTTTGGCTATGCTAGAACAGCAAAAAATGGAGAGCAATCTCATTCCATTATTCACAATCTAATTTCACATCAAATCCAAATAATAATGCATCTTTAAATTCCAACATATTGAATTACAGACAACCTAGAGAGATGCATATACACACACAGACACATATATGTATGTATATGTATATATGTATATATACGTACAGTATATATATACATGTAGTGTATATATATACACATATACACACACACACACACATCTCTCTCTCCAGAAATAAAGCACCAAGCACAATTAAAATATCACATTCTTCCTATAGGATAGAGAGGGGCACAATGAACAACCAACTATATTGCCCATGTGTTTTCCATAAATGACAGAAGGCATTGATGTTTTCCATATGAAAACAAATAATTTTTAGTAAAAGATTAGTTCCTGTTTGTCTTTTAGAATTTATATGGGACCTCAATACCCTCCCAAATAGTGTTTGAAAAAAGTGACAGTTTGATCGTGCAATACACGTCTTTCAGGATTAAGCTAATTTTAATTTTGATAGGCTTTGAACTATAACAGATTAGCTACAAAATGTTTCTGCCTTTTAATCTGTAATAGATGAAAATAAGGAAAACAGTATTCATGGCATTGAGAAGTTCTCAATCTCTACATTATGCAAAGAAGGACTCTTGTCAGAGTCTTTGGAAACCACGGAATTCAAAGTTTCGGGTCTTCCAATAAGATGTCTCAAAAATATTTAGTAAATATGCCTTTAAAATATTTCATCAAATATATATTCACTGTCCTACTATCCAACTACTTACATATGTCTCCTCCAACCTATACGCCCTTCCCATCCTCCATATTGGCTTTTATCTCATTATTGGTAAAATTTAAAAAAAAACTTACATAGTAACATCCTTCCCTTTCTACCACAAATAGACCAACCTATCTGCACATTACACATTTTGCCTTCCCTTTCAGTGGAGTTCTATATTCCCACACCTATCAAAAAT